CGATAATGTTTTGATTTGTCATGTGTATGTTGCCGTTTCGTTATTCTGAATGGATCCGTGCGTGTACTGTAGTAGATATATGCAGTCAGCAGGCGATTGGTTTAGTTTTTTTTTTTTGCCATTTCCATGTGGTCCTGTTCGGTTACGCAACTTGACTTCTCTAAAATGTAAAAAAATGTATATGTGCTTATATTGGGCTCCTTATATCATTTGGTTCTTTGGTGTTCTTTTGGAGTTTCTAAGTGTCCTTTTTTGGAAAGACATCTAAATTTATCTTGAAAAAAGCTTGCAGAAAATACAGATTTTTGAGAATCACCCTTCAATCTTTTGGTTTACTTTGCTGGATATAGCAAATGATGACAAAATAAACATTTGAAACAAGATAAATGGTCTATGCTTAATTTCATGAAGTGTACGATTAATCGTGATTAATCACAGAAAAAGGGTGTGAATAATTAAATTAAAAATTTTAATCGATTGACAGCCCTACTTTAAATGTAAAATTACTTTAAAACTTTTAAAAAGCGAACATAGAGTATGGTTTATTTAAATGAGCTTTAAATGGCTTTACTATGCCCACCAGGGATAGTTTCGAAAAGCTACAAAGAAAATGATGACTGATTTCCTGACATAAACTAATGACTGATCATAAGCAACTATCATAAAAGAGAAAAGAAAAACTGGAGAAGGAAGTACGCACTCATTGTTTACAAAGGCGTATTTGTTGATGGTCTCAATGACAGATTTAAAGGTGATCTTGGAGGTCAGAGTGTAACCGTGTTGGACCATAGGCTCCCCGTCTGGCCCATCCCAACAGTCCACTATAACACAAAGCATAGTCACAAACAAGGCTCTAAAAATAATTGATTTACAACCATTGGAAAATATATATTAGACATATATCCACAAGTGTTATCTCTTACCCTCCACACAGCGGCAGCCGGCCTGCAGGACCCAAGCATACATGTCCGTCTTGGAGTGGGACAGCAGCTGATCTCCAGTCAGGTAGGTGTTGTGGGAAGAGGCTATGAAATAGTTACACAGAGGCTGATCCATGTCTTGATTGACCTCATTGTGCTGAGGGTTGAACACATCACAGACTGGGCTCCGCATGTAGTTGGTGAACCCTAGATAGTGAAAGCAGACCCAAAACAGCTGTATATTTTTTATTTCTTTGAGCCGTATATTATATATTGCTACAGAATCAAAAACAAAACATGTAACATGTCTTTCAAAAGCTCAAAATTTAGGCAAATGACTAATGATGCACTGCTAAAATATCAGTTGTTACAACCTTACACAATCAACAAAGAGTGCAACAACTGGAGAGATCGTTCCAGTGACTTTTTAAAAGCCTAAATGTCTTGCTCTCTTTCAAAAATGCAGCTTTTAGACAAAAAGAGAGTTGTGTGCAAGTGGTATGCAATGTATGTGTGCTGAATAAATTAGTTTCAGCTTGACAAGCCACTAAAGGAATACAAGTCACTAAGAAACACATCATACATTGTTCCAATTATGGAAGCGGCACACACACATAAACAAAAAACTATTGCAAATTTGACAGACAGACAGATATAAAGGCCCTGTTTACGTTTGGTATTAAGATATGTTTTTCACAATCCAATCATGTGGACAATGCTAAATACAGGTGTAAATGGGATCTGAAATGTTTTGAGATTGTCCACTTCTGGCCACTTCCAGAGGTAGTCGAAAACACATTTGACTGGACTGTTTCCGCAGTGTAGATGCTCATGTGGTCAATTGTGTATGAACAGCTACTAAAGACTGCTTGCTCTCTGCCTACTGACCTAATTCTTAAACAGATGGGATTTAAACTGTCGGCTTAAATCGTAAATTTGGTTTGAAGATGAAAAAATTTAAAAAGCACAATGTTCTTCTACTAGTCCTGACTCTAGCACAAATCACAGCATTCGGCATAGTTCTGCGACTATCAGAGCGGCTATAACAAAAGCTGATGCCCACTGTGTCATATTCCATTGTCTCCTTCATATGTAAATTGCACAAGCTTATTTCGCAATATTAGATTGAAAGATAAGGAAAGGCCCATACATACACCTGCCCATAGATACACCCTCCATTCAAATAAATCAGGAAAGTGGTCAAAAAGAGAGGTATTAAAACGCCAGGTATAAACAGAAATATGTCTCCCTCGAGATAGATAGATAGATAGATAGTTCAGTCTGGTCTGACCAGAGTATTATTAAGGGCTCACACACAGCAGGCAGGGTCAATCAGTTCCACCAACTTTGCTCTAACAGGAAGTCAAGCTGAACTGAGCCCCTGTGTCTTATTTAGCTTAAGGGAAAAGGGGGTGGCCAGTACTTCACTGTCAGTGGACAGTGCTCATGAACGCAATCAATAAAGCTCCAAAAAGATCAGATGAAGTTTCACGACACACACACACAAACAGAAACTTTAAGATCCAGCAGAACAGCCTGCTGTCACACTACCCACCACTTTGTAAAATGTAAACGGTAAAGGCATCTCTACTTTCTGCCACAGCTATGGAGTCACGTATTCTATAGTTTCTAAAGTAGGTTGGCACTTAGTAGAGACACAAATGCCAAACAATAAACGTGACAGTATCATGACACAGCTCACTGTTTAACTGGTGCTGGTTTAGCAGTGCCTTCCATAACCTCTATTGATGTTGAGCTTGTGCTGTTCTGAGATTAGTTTGGACCTTAAAGGAATAGCTGACCCCAAAAATTAAAATGTTGTCATCATTTACTCACCCTCAAGTCATTCCAAATCTGTATAAGTTTCTTTCATCAGTTGTTGAAAGAAATAATATCCATCAACCATCAACTGTTTGATTATCAGCATTCTTCAAAATATCTTCTTTTATGTTCAGAATAAGAAAGAAACTCACACAGGTTTGGAACGACATGAGGGTGAGTAAATGATGACAACATGTTTATTTTTGGGTGAACTATCCCTTTAATGTCTGGTTACAGCATAATTACATACATTTGTTTTATTACACACATGATCAAGAATAGTTTGAGTCTAGTTATTCAGACATTCTGTCAGGTTTTCTTCAATAAATATAGGAAAATAGGGAGGGAAAGAAAAGCTGAGTGTGGCCAAACATAGTCCTCACCTTCAATTCCAAGAACTCCATTCTGCTTGTTCTCCTCAGAGACTTCAAACTTATTGATTATGTCCAGACAGTACTCAGGGGTCACATTGGACATCTGTGAAGAAGCAGAAAACAAAAGAAAAGAGAGGGTCAACCTCATGTCAATCTTCCAGATAGGATCCATAACAATCATTTGGTCTCTAAGGGTCACCTCCTTTTAAAGTAAGATCACAAAAAAAAATCCTCCAAACTGCCATTCTTACGGTGGCCGAGAGCTCAACGCGCTGCAACTTAAGAAAACACATGCAAATTGAAAAAACACCAGCAAATTAAGAAAACATCTTCATCAGTTTGACAACACATGCAATGAAGAAACGCG